CATCTAGTAGGGATATCGAATATCATCTAGTAGGGATATTGAATGTCGTCTATTAGGGATATCAAATCAATATTGAATGTCATCTATTAGGGATATCGAATCAATATCCCTGACCCTACTAGATGGCATTCGATATCCCTACTAGATGACATTCAATATCCCTACTAGATGACATTCGATATTGATTCAGTACCCCTAATAGATGACATTTGATATTAATACTAGATGACATTCGTTATCAATACTAGTTGACATTCGATATTGATTTGAATATTTGGATACCCCTAATAGACGACATTCGATATCCCTACTAGATGACATTCGATATCTTATGGTTGCAGAGATATAAGGGAATAATTATCTCTGTTAGTGGTTAGTATAAAAGTAATAGTGATATATATATATACATTAACCTTTTAACTACTATAATTTAGGAATAATTCTAAACTACTACCTATTCAACCCCCTAGATATTAAATTAATATTTTAGATATAAATTAAAATAACTATAATTACTATATATTTTATATAAAAATATTAATTTTCTATAAGCATGCTAGATAGGCCCTAGGCAGATGGTATGTGTGGTAGCAGTGGCATCAGTGTGGTGGGAGGTAATCATGGTAAAAAACATTTTGGCCGGTTTTGTACATTCAGTCCGCCGTACTTTGGGTATATTGTCAGCATGAACTAGTGTCGTGGACTGTGCGGGCTTCCAACCATAAAACACCTTGAACATCCACTATGATTGTAACTCCATCTGAGACTCGAAAATGCGTCCTGTTGTCTTACTATTCGGATTTAAGGCTGCTTTTGATTCTTCATGTACAGCTTGATACCAATCATCGCGTCCAATATTCATCCTTAATGGACAATCTTGTCTCTTAAGAAGCTTAGCTAATCTACTTAATTAGGATGGACTCATAAGCTTATGTGTAGTATGAAACTTCTACTAGCTCTCCTAAGCAGATGACATAAGGAGGTAATAAAAGGATGACTTAGCTATTTAGGTCTCTTCATACAGACAGACAAGCTGATTTTTTAATAGCGTCTATCACAATGTGCCCATGGATGTCTGAGGAGTGAGACTGTGTACCTTAGTTACCTTGATTCTACTATGCTTGCAGATGTCTGCGTTCAGTATACTGCTTTTAGTTATCTATTTTCATACCTTGTGCTGCTTGCGGAGTACTACCGTAAGCATATTATATCATTAATGAAGATATATATAGACCCCCTTGTCTGACAGGTTAGGAAGACAAGGATTAGTCTTATTATCAACTAATCTACTGTTTTATTGTACTATTTTGGTCTAATACTCTATCCCTTATTGTTTCCAAGTCTTACCTAGTCAACAGGCTTATCTACCCTGTCCAGTGGATTATCCTTACATAGATATCCTATATTACATCTTGCAGTGCAGATGACAGACCTAGTAATAGCTAGACTTTTATTAAGTTATAGAGATCTTAATATTAATAAGAGGGCATAGAATAAATACTAGTTTATAGCTCTGCATTAAGCTACTAGTATAAGAAAACTTAGGATAGTTAACCTACTACTGACGAAGTGCAGTATTAATATTAATGCTAGAGATATTAAGGAAAGAACCCCTCTTTAGTAGGTAACTAAGAATAATTACTTAATTATTATAAAGCAGCTCTTAGCAGAAAATAACTTAGATATTAATACTACTAGTATTAGTAGATTAACACCACTTCACCATGCTATTAATTAAGTAAATAGTATAATTATGTATTCTCTCCTTACTAAGGATAGGCTTAACCTAAATATTCCTCATAAAGCAGGGCTGACCCTACTTAGTTATGCTGTGCATAATGGGGATAGAAAAATGGTAGATCTCCTCCTTATGCAGGAGGACATACAGATCAACTCTGGTAGCTTCAGATCAAACTCTCTGCTAATATTAGCAGTAATAGGTGGGCACTTTAGCATGATGCTATGGCTCCTCCGCCACGCCCATGCAGCCAAAATGATGGTAGCTTAGCCATACCGTATCTAAGGTTGAGCGCAAATGGACTAGATTCCCTCAGAACTGGCGGGTGTCATACTACGGAAGATAACCTACTGCCGGTAAACTGTTGCTATCTCATGGCCTGACGCCTCCAGATAGCTGACGACCATCTCTTATTTTGGTATCGCGTTCTCCGTCTTCGCTAATACCGACGCAGTATCATATCCCCAGTAGAACGAAGGACGTGCTGAAACACAAAAATCGTGACTCTCTGGACAAGGAAGAATGTTGCCAACAACTTGATACTGTAACTCTTCCGGGACTTAGTACGTTTGAGTAGCCTCTCTGATCCGGGGGCAAGAGGTCTTCGCTTTATGAACCTGTCAACCTTAAGATCATCCGGAGGTGTCCGGACGACCATGTCTATTTGTAGGTGCATAGATTGTCCAATTAATCGCGCATATTATCAACCATATTGGCAACAATATCCAATGGTGCTAGAGGGTCGTTTAACAATCCAGTACGTCAGTTCCTCACCAGTTCCTCATCCTCTGCTTTTCGTGAGTGTCCAGCCCCTCGAAGGTATACTTCAAATCGATGATGCAGGGGCGGTGCCACAAGAGTAGCCCTTCAATCTGAGATTTATGTACACTCATAAGACACATTGTCTTTAAGCAGTTGCAGTGTCCATATCTCAGCTAGAAAGGCTGTCGCTAAGAGCAATGCTCCATTTGCGGTACAGTAATCCCAAGTGCACTCATATATCCTTGAGTGGATCTAGTTCAAGCAATGTCTCTCTAGCATAACTAGTTAACCGGGTACAGTATTTCGCCAGATGATAATGGCCCGCACAATCCATATATATCGCACCAGCATTGCTCTACACGGGGGCAGCTGGGGATTCAGTGTTAGCTTTCGGCCATAGCTGAAGGTCCATGACGTACTGCACCGGATCTTTCCCAAATATGATATGCCACAGTTTCTCCATCACAAGGCCTATCCCATAATTATCCGTGACTTCTGTCTGCGCTATCCATTGAAGGATTCGTTTATAATCGTCCAGAGGCCGCCGTCGTATCATTTCTCGACTGACAATAAACTGAGCGCAGCAAATATGCCCGATACGCGGAGGAAGCTGCGCCGCAGTGACGTTAAACAGCTCCATATATATGTTGGGAAACAGATCGTAGAGATATGCATACTCGATATCGTTTGGCTGCGGATTCAACGGATGCCACGTGTCTGGACAAAGAGGCGCTGTTTTGCAGCGTAGATTGACAAATCCTTCCACCTGAACAGCCTCAAACCGTATCCTGCGGAGGTGATCAATTGTCTTCAACCCAAAAAGATCATTATGCCATTGCTCTTCCGCACCATGAATGAAGATGGAAAATTCTGGTAGGTCATGGTAGTAGTTAACGATGTATGTCAGGTACGCTGCAGCCTCATGGCCTCTTGTTGTGAGAGGCTTCAATAGACCTTCCTCAGGTTGCTCTGGGTCCATGGTATATGCATATAGTCCGCACCCACTAGAGGCTTGGCTGTTAGATAAGGTGCAGACAGGCAAATTGAAATGGATATAGGCATACATTTCCTGACAGAAAGGTCTTATCCAATTAATGTTTTCCTTTCTCCTTTTTGCTATAACAATCGCCTTGTCTGAGACGGGGATATTCTGCTGGTTGTACTTGTATGCTGTTGCTGTGATGATAATGGAGGCAGCTGTTAATAATACTTTATTGCAAAGCAAAGATTACCTCCTCATGTGCACTGACTGTGTTTTCTATGACCTGACGTGGATATTCCACTTGAGGAATGAGTTGCATTGGGCGTATCAAAGAAGCAGTTGAGGGCACTGTCATAGATATTATATGCAATGGTGAAAAAAAGGACAAAACTGATCAACAATCGGACTTTCTGGCTCCTTGGAAGATGACAGTTACGCATCTTGTAGACATGCAGAGGATGGGAGTGTGAGATCTAATTGTGACTATGCATGAAAAGGAGAATAACACTTTGTCCAGAAGGATCTGATGCACATGGGCAACTAGCTTCTCCTCAAGATGTAACAGTCCAGCCGTGGACTGCGGCTGCGCTAGGCCTAATGCAGAACTGACTGAAAGCAGTAGTGAATAATGTAACATAATTCCTAACTAAGGCGCCCACCTGGGCGAGCCGCCCACCCCTCATCTGATTTTAATGCATTCAAATTCAAAACTATCCAAACAGCTACCATGCCACCAAAATCACGTCAAATCTCTAGGAATCTAGTGGAATAAGAGGGAAGGATTCAATTAGTAATATCTGCTTTAAAAAAAGGACAAATTCCAAGCATTTACCATGCTATAAAGATATTTAATATGCCTAAATCTACCCTCCATGGCTGACTTAATAGATGCTAATATTAAATTAAAAAATATACTAATGGTCACTGACTATCTCCTATATAGGAAGAATTATTAATAGAATAGATTCTATCTAGAGATCTATGCAGAGTGCCTCCTAGGCCATCTTATATATAGGAATTAGGAAATACTCAGTAATATGCTGGCTGAGAGAGAAATAATAAAAGTAGTAGAGCAGGAGCTAGTATTATTAAATAAGGTAGTATCTTAAAGTTAGTATTCCCTCTTCCTATAGTATTAGGATTTTATGTTATAGCTGATACATCTTTCTCTAGTCTAAAATAGTCATTAACATGAATAAGGATGGACTATTAATGTTAGGGGAAAGATTCAAGGCTCTTAAGCAACTTAGAAATAAGCTAGATCACGCAAGATAATGCATCAGTCCATATGCAAGAATAACCAGTCTCAATGACAGTAGTTTTAGACTATGGTGACCTCCTCTGTAGGTTCCTATGCAACGACCGCCTTCGCGGGGGTTGGCACGCGGAATTGTATCTATCCGGCAGAATAAACTTATCGGGCGGTCATTGACACACGCGTCCAGCGCGATCATCAGACGCAACAATATACAGCAGCAAATAGCACATAGAATTTTGACATCTCTTTCCACCATCCATCAGCCGACCATGTACGGCGAACTCGGAAACAAACTGGTCCGCCGCGTCCTACTCCCCCAATTCCAATCCGCGCTAACAGCACCCACAGGTCCAACACGCCAAACGCACGCAATCCCTCGTCCACCTCCCCMCCTACCAGACCGAACTGGTGCGCACCGTCGCGCGCGAAGTCCGCGATCTCGACCGCGACGTCGCCCGCCTCCTCGAACCCTTCGGCGGCAGCTTCAACCCCTCCGCAGACCCGGCGACCGCCTGCGCCCTGCTAGTCGACCATATCTGCACGCGCCGCAACAAGCGCTGTCTCCTTGCGTATCACCGCGTGCGCATGGAGAAGCTCGAGGAGCTCTGCTGGAATGGGGTGGATGTGCTGGAGCAGGAGCAGCCGAATGCAGAGGAAGGGACGGCGGCGCATGGGGTGGTGAGTTCGCAGGCGGGGAACCATAGCTCGTTGAGTCCCGAGGAGGAGGAGTATTTTCGGCAGTATAGTGATATGCTGGCGGCGTATAAGGGCCAGTGGACGGATATTGATTTGACGGGGAGCTTGGAGCCGCCGAGGGATCTGTTTATCGATGTGAGGGTTTTGAAGGACGCGGGGGAGATCCAGACGGAGTATGGGTATGTTGTGCTTTGTGTTGTTCCGTTTGGCTGGGCGATCCTTCTACGTACATTGAGAGCAGAGCTGATGTGTGTGTGGTACAGGGTTATCAATTTGACGAAAAACAGTCAACTCTACGTTCGACAGGGCGATGTGGAACGGCTGATCGCGCAAGGGTTCCTGGAGCGACTGAGCTGATAGAAACTGGACGATGATGAAGGGCTGGCGGTTTTGACGACTTGATGATACCCATTGTATATACGGTGCATTGAACTCTCTTTGTAAGGATTGTGGTATATAGTCTGTATAGGTATTCCGATATGCGGAGTACGAGGCGTCAATATAATTCCATGATCCAAATAATCACGCATGAAACAAACAATTTTAGCCAGTTGACATTTGAAAGCAATGAACGTTATCATATCCTACAGCTGATGGTAGCTACTTAAGTACTGCAATTGTCCAAAGAAGCAAAGACACGGACTAAGCTTGCATGCATATTCCGTCGATCATACTACACCATCAATTTCAGATTGTTTCTGCCCAACCTTCAAGTTTCAACTCTTGCCCCCACAGCTTCAAGAGGCGATTACTCAATAATAACAACGACTTTATCCGTGCGGTAATCAATTCCAGGATCTACTCATAGTTCCCGATCCACAATTGCCAGAATCCGGTAAAGCGCCCCCGGCGGAGACGATGATAACGGCCGGTGATAAAGACTTTTGTTAGTCAACTCACGGACCCGGATTGATAACGCCGGCAGCTTCTGGGCTCGGAGCTTTGAGATGAAATAACTTCTCCCAATGACACATGTTCGCTTTCAAGAACACCGTCAGTCATCTTCACCCCAGCTGATGCATCGGATTTTTGCAGGCCTTCTTCCTCTCAATTGTGTGGTAACCAAAGAACGCCAATTGCTCTTCGTGCCTTGACTCTTGCGTCATCCGGGATCCCACCCGTTTTCGTCTGCGGCCGTTGGGGTGCGGCACGCACACCGAGAAAGGAGCCTAGGCTTCTCGCCCTCAATTTATCCCCTCCTTTTTCATTCTGAGAAACGGATTGTGTGTGGCGCAGGCAGTAACGGTTCGGGTTCGCGATGGGCGTCATCGGACGTCGAGACCGCGGTGATTCCCGTGCGTCAGGATTTTTACCCCGTCGCCCATCTCTGATCAACACTCCTGCTCCAAATGTGACAGAAATACCGATCGAGCGGGCCAATCATGGCAGTACTTCGGACACTTCAGGACTCCAGCCTTCCATCCACGGCGGGTCGAGCTTCAGGACTCCGACTCGGTCATTCTACCATCGGTCCTTCAAAGGTCCTCAGGGTACGATAATAGGAAATTCCGTGAGGGGTTTAATGTCCTAACTGGCAGTCTAGATCCGGCACAGTATTCATCAGAGGGTTTGAGAGAACAAACAGCTGAATTAGCATCGTTTGCGCTGTCGCTTCCTCACAAACTGAGCTCTCTTCCGCGAAGCATGGATATCTTTCAATCGAAACAACAGACTGATGTCGCCGCATCTTCGTCAAGCCACTCCAGCACTGCGGGGGAGCTAACCATTGTTGACCCGGAACCGATCCCCGCTCCTGCTACCGGCTCCTCGGTATTGACCCAGATGATTCGCAGTCCTCCCTCTGGGTCGTTCGGGGATGAAACCGACCACTACGGAGGTAAGCTGAGCCCAAGCGGCGCGGCTGGTGTGGAAAACCCAAGGCTCTTATTTAATGATGGCGAGGAAGGGAACACAAGTACCGAACGGACATCGTTGCTGAATAAGACGGCGCAGTCTAAACCATTCCATGGATACGGGGTTGCAGACGATATTGAAAGGCAAAACTTAGTGAGAGAGCGCGAGTCGGGCGCACAACCTCATGCTCTAACGACAATCAGAAGCTGTCTTCGTCTGATAGCAAGCCCAAAGTCCTGGGACCGGCGAGCAGTATGGCAGCAGGGGGTGGTTTATCCCGTCAGCCTGCTACCTTCGGTGTTCCTCGGCCTACTGCTGAATATCCTCGATGCGCTCTCCTACGGGATGATCCTGTTTCCACTGGGAGAGCCTATCTTCTCTGAGCTGGGGTCAGACGGAATCTCGATGTTTTATGTCAGCACAGTCATTGCTCAGCTGGTCTTTTCATGCGGAGGGTCAGTCTTCCGTGGTGGTATCGGGAGTGAAATGATTGAGGTTGTTCCCTTCTTCCACCAAATGGCCATGACAATTCTAGCTCGGGTTGGTGAGGACAATCCGAAATCGGTTCTGGCAACAACCATCCTCTCATTCTCCGTCAGTTCAATTCTTACGGGGCTTGTGTTTTTCTTGATGGGAACGTGCAAGCTTGGTTCTCTCATTGGGTTCTTCCCGCGTCATATTTTGATTGGATGCATTGGTGGTGTAGGGTTCTTTCTGATGCAAACCGGGCTCGAGGTATCTGCCCGACTATCCGGTTCTCTCGAGCTTAAACTACCAATCTTGCAGAAGCTTTTTCATATGGATACATTGCTGCTTTGGATGATACCCTTGTTACTTGCGATTGCTTTTCTTATTTTGAAGCGCTTTGTGCGGTCCAATTTCCTGGTCGGTGGTTATTTCATTGCGGTGACCGTGGTTTTTTATGTCGTCAAACTCGCCGCGAGAGTGTCTATGGATACCTTGCGTAACAGAGGATGGGTCTTTGACGCTCCATCGTCTTCCAACCCTTGGTATCACTTTTATACGCTCTATGGTGGGTATCCCTTCAGGCTATCCCAATCGATCCTGACTTGACATTTTTCACAGATTTCTCGGCCGTCGACTGGTCCGCATTCGTTGACACGATTCCGGCGATGTTTGCATTGACGTTCTTCGGAGTCCTTCACGTCCCAATCAATGTACCGGCACTGGGTATATCGACTGGAGAGGACAATCTAAATGTTGACCGTGAGCTCATCGCTCATGGCATTACTAATGCACTGTCAGGTTTCGCAGGAAGCATACAGGTATGGTTCCGCAATTCAATGGACATCGTTCGTTACATATACTCATGCAGTTCTAGAACTACCTTGTATACACTAACAGTCTTCTCTTCATTGCCAGCGGTGGCAATTCTCGACTGGCAGGTATCATGCTTGCCTTTGCTACAATGGGTATTCTTGTTGTTGGTCCGGTGATTATTGGATTTATTCCTGTCATGGTCGTCGGAGCTCTGATCTTCATGCTGGGCATTGAGCTTATGGAAGAAGCCTTGATCGACACGTGGGGGAAATTGCACCGACTCGAATACTTAACAGTAAGTAAGCCCTATCTTGTCATTGAGCTGCATCCTAATTCGTACAGGTCGTCATTATCGTCGTCACTATGGGTGCTTGGGACTTTGTGGTTGGCATCTTTGTCGGAATTATCTTGGCATGCGTGAGTTTTGTGGTGCAAACCTCACGCAAATCAGCTGTCCGGGCTACCTTTTCTGGCAAGATTACGGGCTCGACTGTCAGGAGACCTCCCATCCAACAGCGATACTTAAAAGAGGCAGGGCAGCAGACACTCATCATCAAGCTTGCTGGCTACCTATTCTTTGGGACGATAGTCAGCGTTGAAAGTACCATGCGCGGACTCATTGAAGAGGAAGCTTTCAACAGACGGCCTATCCGGTTCCTCATCCTGGATTTCTCGCGAGTGTACGGGCTGGACTTTTCCGCGGCAGAAGCCTTCACGCGTATAAACCGGATTCTCCGGAGACGCAATGTGCAGATGACTATATCTGGGCTTGATATGACGAGTGAGGTCGGGAGGAGCCTTCAGAACGTTGGGCTTCTTGCAAGCGAAGGCGGCGTTGAGATTTTCAAGGACCTTAACTCGGCCCTTGAATTCTGCGAGAATGATTATCTCAAGGTCTTTTACAGCCATCGCGAGGCATTGATACGAAAGAAGAGCGGCGGGTCGTCACCCCATCTTGAAGTTCCTGTGTCCCGGAACCAAATGCAGGCCGCTGAAGGGATCGTTGGCTCTCCCCGCCGGCTGTACCTCCAGCAAGCTGCCACGACTACTCTGCGCGAGGACGAGACGGCAGCAATGGCTTCGGTTGCATGGTCGGCGATGCGACAACCGCTCCCTTTGCTCCTGCAGACTTTGCAGGGGCTCACCATCAAGAACGAGGATTTCTGGTTCAGGGCATGCCCGTATTTTGCTCGAGTCTGCTATGCTGCGGGTACCGTGCTGTTCCAAGAGGGCGACTTACCCGAGGGATTCTACCTGCTCGAGTCGGGGATGCTCCGAGCGGAATATGAGCTGCCGCAGGGCCGTTATTTCGAACTGATCGTCGCAGGACGGCCGTGTGGCGAGCTGCCGTTCTTCAGCGAAACCCGACGGACTGCGACGGTCAAGGCGGAACAGGACTGCGTGGCCTGGTGTCTGAATGCCGAGAAATGGCAGCAGTTGAAGCAGGAAGAGCCCGAGATCGCGCAGGAGCTGTTGACGGTGAGCTTGAAATTGACGAGTGAGAGAATGGACAGCATCACATCGTAAGTACCTTGGCTTTGCAACATGGCCTGCCGACAATAACTAACTGAGTATGTTTAGGTATGTCTTGACAATGGCAGCTTGATCACTATACTCTTATGACATGTAGGATGTAATTGGATGAAGCAATTGGGCATTGCATATCTCGCATTGGCGGTCTTCTGAGCACTCGAATACTCGCATTAGCTTATTTCATGTATATTGGATCCCCTGACTCTTAGATAATGTGATTTCTGCTTGAAGATTAGGAACTCTAAAGAACATATTGCCATGCAGGAATAGACTAGACTGATGCATGCTTGACGCCTTTGATGCCCTAGTTGCCGTGATGCAAGATGATGCGATGCATGGCAGGATGCGCATGACTTGAGGGGTAGAGTCATTTACCCACTTTGTCAAATCGACCGACCCCCTTTGTCAAACACCGCCCACCATAGCAAAATATTTTCTTTCTCTTCAACCAAAGCTTATCCAATTTTCAACCTAACCACATTCAAAATAACTAGTAAGTATTAATTTATATAGAATGATTAATAGCTAATGTGGCAAGGATGAAATTAGGAGTGATTTAACTAAAAGCCTATAAGAAACCTACCTATAGCACCCTTACTCCCCAGACACAGGCTATCCAGGCACAGGCTATCTAGGCATATATAAGGGACCCCTTCACGCGCAGTAAAGCACTAGAAGTAGAACCTACTACCAGAAATTAAGAATAATTCAGATTACTAGTATATCTAATTTGTCATTTTATGTCAGGTTTTACTAGTAAATTCTATTATATTTTAGACATGCTGTGACACTGTCGAATCTGTAGTTTTAATATATATTTTTATGGTTTAATAGGGTGTTCGGGGCGCGTTTGACAAAGGGGGTCGATTTGACAAAGTGGGTAAATGACTCTATGTCCTGCGTATGTAGTCGTTTGCTACGCATTTTGATGCTGCATCTAGCACTCGTGTGTACAGATACTTAGACGTGCGGAGCTCACTACTATTTTATCCCATGATCTGCAATTCAGATAGACAATACAGCAAAACACTGCTACTGACTGCACCATAGATACGGAAGTCGGCAACAACTGGTCCAAAGCTGCCAACAGGACAAGCAGCGATCACCAGATGTGCAGGATCGACATTGGACAGTAGTGGCATGATTGGTCGGCGATTGTGACTGGTAGGTAGATAGCTGCTGGTAACTGGTGACGGGGGAAAAAAACGGTTCGAAACGGCCAAGAGGGCGTATTCCGTAAATCTTGATTCTCTCGCCGGCTCAGGGTCTCATCCCGTAACTCGTAGGTATTATTAAATATCCGTACTCTGTATTCTGCTCATACTGAGTCAACCAGTCGAGTCTCGACGTCACCAGCCAAACGGGAACTGATACGCCATCGGAAAATGCAGGGTCATGCTAATATAGGGCTGGCCTCGTAGCGGAAGGTACCTTTAAGCAACGTGATGGGACTTGAGAATGTGATAGGTTGCAATTTGCGACTTGAGTGAGAGCGGGTTACTCAGTGGGGGTCTTTTTTGCCTCACACAGTAGGTAAAGTTAAGGTAGATGCACAGCAAAAGAATCTGCTGAAATCTACACAGCTTACGCAGCTAAAATTCCGACAGGAGCTTTACCAGGCCCTATTTAGATATTGGACTCCTCCATCTGGGCCGTGGCATAACCCTATTCAGGTCAGCCTCCCAGATAGTTGATTAGATAGCTCTCTTGAGCATATACGGGAGCGAAGACCTGAAAGTAAGCAGATAAGATGTACCTGGTGCCTCTATATAAATTATATGCAGCAGCAAGGTACTACTAGTCAACAGATTTTAAAAGCAAGCCTTACTATCTGGAATTGCAAGGCCTGTAAGGACTGAATTACTATATAAAATACTACATTAAGATGTAACAATATAAGTGCTAAGACACTTCTAGAGAGTAGAGAATGAGGTGGGTTATGTATGAGTTTTAGTTATATTACCCTTTATGGATTTCTCATGAGCGCTAACAGCTACTAAAGATCATCTAAGATTATGTTGCAATTAAAGCTCAAATTGCTAACTCTCTTCCAGTAATCAAGCTTCTAGGGTTAATTAATAGTGTAACTGACAACTCTGGACAGTGAGGCTAAGCTGCTACTACCTAACTCATCCATAAAACCGAGATGACTGTCTTATGCTCCTTATAATGTACCTATGTAGCAGAGCTTTCAAACAGCATATAAAGGGCTAGATATCCTGTTTACTTGATCTTCAACCGCATCCACAATGAAGTTTTCTCCATGTCTCGCGGTCTTAGTGTCGTTAGCGGCGGCGGCCCTACATCGCCCTAACTGGCCCAAACGTCACTTTGGAGACCAGGAGATCACAGATCCAAACGTTCTCGCGGAGCTTCAAACCCGGCATGCGCGCTTGCTCGCAAACATGAGGGACAATGAGGTCATCTATATGCATACTGACGAAGCCATTGGCTATCTGAACAGTCCATTACAGAAGCGTTTAGTTCCGCCTATCATCCTTGGTATTCTTGGTATAGATGCTTTCGTCGAAGTTTTTAGCGAGCTTGGGGGCTACGCAGCAGACATAGCAGCCGGCCTCCAGAGAGCACTCGACTGGAATGATCACGCCATTTGGACCGACCCGGGCCACTGTCGCGTGTTTTTCCAGACACATGCCGGCAGCGAGTTGACCTTCAAGACCTGGAATATCAGTTCTGATTCTGACAGCCCCGATACAAATTGGAACGACCAGTGAGTAAACGAAGGATTGCTTCGGGTCTCATACTGACACTTGTTTTAGCCAACCTTGGATTGACCCGCACTCCAACCCTCCACCTGTGATCTATTTCGACAGTCCTTTCATCGGCACTTACAGTGTCCAGTTTACTGCCACCGATCAGGTCGCCTGGAGCGGCATTGACGGTACCGAGAAGTGCGTCATGCAGGGCATATGTAATCCCCAGTACGTCTTTTATCGCAATGGTTATAACATTCTCATCAATACATGGCGTAAGTGAATTCCCCTCTACGTGACCCAGACATCCGTGTCTAGTATAGATCTCTCTAAATGTAATGCAGACTCCCAGGGAGAGGTTTCTAAATGTCAATACTCGGACGGCGAGGAGTGCGGAGGTCTGTGTTCCTCCGGTGTCCTGGACCAGTTCTCGCGGCACGGCAACGTCTGGGGAGGGTGTTGCGCCGTTCCCTGCATCTGGGACGGCCCAGATGGTGACTCTATGTGAAGGATACTCTTTCGCCTACGCTTCCAAATCTAGATTAGCACGACACATCGCTGATCCACTCCCCCTTTTCTTTTTGTTGATAGAATATAGAAAAGCGACTGTAGGATTAGGCACCACGTTGGGCCCTTTATTGGTATTTATGAGTTCTCATAGTTGACAGGCACGATGTCAACAGGTACTTAGGTATGAAATAGCATGTGCAAATCTATGCATGACAATAGGATGGATCATGGAGGGTGTCAACGTGTTGTGGTTGGGCAATCGCGAAGATCGCAGCAGGAGTCACGGGGCTGCAGTCGCGTGGACTCTCATGCAACTCACCAACCTACTTTCACCTCTCGCAAGTTGCAGGGTAGATAAATGATTGGAAAGCCGCAGAAGCGCAGATAACTAGAATGTTCCAAAATGCACAGTGCGACGACAAACCAAGAACGCTGCTTCTGATTTGCAGAGTCAGAATACAAGGTGGCGGCGGGTTTCAATTTCAATCGCCTCCTTGACTCGGGAATAATGCAGAGGAGTGCAGGTTCCCTGGCGAAAATGCAGAGCGTTTTGAGGTGGATCCCGCAAGGATGGGTGTGTCAGCCTGTCAGGGGGTGCTACTTTTGGTAGCTGGCTTGCTGTTTGTCGCAAGGATTTGGATCGTCATTGAAGTTTTGAATACAGAGAACCGAGAGAGGAAGTGAGACTGTTATTCTTTTCTTCATACCTGTGTCTATTCCTCTATGCTGGAGGATATCTTGATAATAATACGCAGATACTGGAAGGAGTTCTCTGTACTACCAGAGTTAGCGTCTCGCAATTTTAAGGACGATCTGAAAGAAGACCCATGGATCAAAAGGATCCAGCGGTGGCTGGCGTCCCACAAACAGATGAGCGAGGACGGGCCAGGTGACATGATTGTTGATCGCATCAAACGGCCACTCAAAGAATTGTTCTTGATGCCATCGCTAAGGTATTAGGGCTCAATTTTGTGGGTTCAGCAATACCTGAGGTGCCTCTTGAGCATGTACTCGTATCCTCAAGGTCGCAAGTTGAAGGATTTTTCGCATCATCATAATTCGCAGAACACCGCTAAATGACACTAAAACCGACCAAAATTAAGTTGGAATCGGCCCAAAAATTTAGGGACAATTAGTGGGTTGGTTCGGAATGGGTCCGCCCAAGCAAGGCCTAGTTAGTCTAGAGCCATTTAATATCGACCTATCTATCTGCACGACCAGTAGGGGAGCTCCTGGAGTTGATCACGAAGCTATCCACATACGTAGTCGGAAAGCGACCTTAGTAATTAGTCTGAAGAACTAGCTGTCATAGTGTGCTCCTTAGCATCTGAACTACACCAGTGTTTCATTATTCCTCTTTTTTTTGACTTTATTAGTAGAGGATCATGGCGGCAAAAAGGAGGTAGATAGATAAAAGATACAAAGCAAAAATTTTCGCGTCCTCTGATATCTACTCTGAGGAGGCCAAATTACCTTCAATAATGGATTGCCCTTGGGTTGGTCAAAAGTCTTGGACACCTGCAGCGCATCCAAAACATAGAAAAAAAAGCTTCCCGAAAGGTTAAACAAACAGTCACGGGTCCCTTGTGTAAGGATAAGACCATCCATCTTTTGATAATCATCCAGAGGTGTTTAGTCCTGAGCAGCCGGAGCTCTGATGGGCCTGACTAGAGAAGTGTACCTATACGAGCATATGGAGCCACCCCTAAAGTGTACCAAAGTATCAGGTATCAACTGCTTCCAAAGACAAACAAGAAAATTTCACCCAAAGGACTACTTTGTGCCATAGTAACCAAAAATTAACCAATAAACCATGCCTATCATTACCGTCCTTCCTCTCCGGCTAGACCTAGTCAGGCCATAGTGAGGACCGCCCTGCAGCTCATTGCCCTTCTGGGCTGATGCGCCATCAACCCAGGCTGCATCCACCCCCCTCCTTTCACCCCCTTCTCCTTCTTTTTCTTTCTCTTCTCTTTTTTTCTCCTTCCTCTCCCTCCCTCTCTTTCTTTCTTCTCTTCTTCTCCTCTCCATTCCATTCCTGATAACTAAGCTATCACGCTTTTGTTCGTTTCCCACGAACCTTTCTACCCATTCTTCCCTTGTGATACCCGAGCTATTCTTTGCTTTGTGCTGAGAGAGCTCCTGTTTCCTTTCTGTTGAGATACCCCCCTTGAGATACCCATACTCGACCTTGATACCCGAAGCGCTTATAGCTTCTCTAACGGCTACTTAATCAAATTCACTACCATAATAACCTTTTAATCAACCATCATCACCATGTCGGAAGTTCAGAAGCCTGTTGAGGAGACCCCCGTGGCCGTCCCTGCCGCCGAGCCTGTCGCCGAAGCTCCTGCTGCCGTTGAGGCCGCTGCCACTGAGGCTCCCGCTGCTGAGGCTCCCAAGGAGACCCCCGTTGAGAACGCCGAGGCCACTCCCGCTGCGGCTGAGACCACCGAAGCGCCTGCCGAGCAGCCCAAGGAAGAGGCCAAGGAGGAAATCACTCCTGCGACTGAAGGTGTGCTTGGACACAAGGGACCTGGTCTGGTGAAGTAAGCGCTACTTGCGAGCCTTCAGATGGTGATGTGGAGCGATGGCTGACTTGTTACTTTTTTGGTCAATAGGGGTCTGCGTTTCTCCAAGCGATTCTTCTACTTCAGCAACGAGCCCGTCGAGGCCAAGCACCTGTCCGTCTTCCGGCAGAACGAGAAGCCTGCTGTCGCCAAGCCCATCGTCGCTTGGGCTACCCAGACCGGCAAGGGTCTCCTGTTCCTGACCAAGCGCGCTGAGGACAAGGCCCCCCCCGCTGGTATCTTCAACTTGGTGAGGGATTTTTTTTTTCCTTTTTTTTTTTTTTTTTTTTTTCGGTTTGGGACATAGCATGGTTATTCGTACTAATACTCTCTTTAGGCCGAGATCTCCGACCTTGCCAAGGAGGGCACCAACGAATTCCTCTTCAAGGTTAACGGCCAGAAGCACACTTTCCAGGCTGCTAACGCTGCTGAACGTGACAGCTGGTTTGTTGCTCTCGAAGCCAAGGCAGCTGAGGCCAAGGCTGAAAAGGAGACCATCGTTGCCAGCGAGGGCTACAAGGCTGAGCTGGAGAAGCTGAGTAAGTCATGTTGGATCGAGTTGCTGAATACGGATCAATTCTAATCCTGTTGCAGCCAAGCCTGTTGTTGCTGAGCCCGCCAAGAAGCCCGTTGAGCCTAAGGAGGAGGCGAAGAAGGAAGAGGCTGCTCCTGTTGAGGAGACTAAGGATACCAAGGAGACCAGCGACGCCAAGGACAAGGCCAAGAGCCGCTCTCAGTCTCGCAAGAGGGCCAGCATCTTCGGCTCCTTCCTCGGCAAGAAGGAGGAGACTGAGGAGAAGAAGGAAGAGAAGACCGAGGACGCCAAGCCCGCCGAAGCCGCCGCTGAGCCTGTCGCCGAGGCCTCTGCTGCTGAGGCTCCTGAGGGTATGTTTTATCAACATTCAAAATCTAACACGAAGCCGTAAGCTGACTATCAACAAGCTCCCGTTGCTGCTGCTCCTGCCGAAGAGAAGAAGGAGGAGACCGAGGCAAAGAAGGAGGAGAAGAAGGCCGAGAGCCCTGCTCCCAAGTCCAAGCGTACCTCTCTGTTCGGTAACTTCTTCCAGAAGGTTACCAGCCCTTCCCACGAGAAGTCCGAGAAGGAGGCTGCCGCTCCTGCTGAGCCCTCCGCTGTCTCCAGCACTGCTCCCCAGCTGGAGAATCCCGTCGAGGAGGCTGCTGTGAAGCCCATCGAGCCAGAGACCGTGACCTCTGCCGCCGCTGCCACTGCAACCGAGTCTCCCAAGGAGACTGCCGCCGCTCAGTCTCCCACTGCCGAGACTCCTGCCGGTAAGGACAAGCGTCGCACCTCTTTCTTCGGTAACTTTGGCAAGAAGAAGGGCGACTCTGACAACGAGGGCACCGACGGCGAGTCCAAGGCCAAGGGCAACAAGCTCGGTGGTCTTTTCCGCAAGCCCAGCAAGGCCGTGAAGCTCGACAACAAGGAAGCCACTGCGACCAAGGAGGCTGAGGACAAGGCCGAGCCCGCCGCTCAGGAGGCTTCCGCTGAGGCGGCTCCCGCCGAAGAAGCTAGCAAGCCCACTGAGGCCCCCGCCGCCGAGGAGGCCAAGCCTGCGACCGTCGCTGCTACCTCGACTCCCGTCCAGGCTGCAGCATGAAGTGCTCATTCTCAGAGGCGTGTTGTCGAGTTTGAGAAATGGTGGGATCAACGCTATGCGTCTCCCAACACCTCAGCCTGCTGTTGAATCATTACCATGACGGAAACCGAAAACGAAAAAGTGTTAAGAGAAAACCCCTCAAAAATATTTCAAAAAAAACATATATGTCGATCTGGATCCGGTTTGCCTTTTTTTTGCTGTCTTCGAACCGCTCTATATCGTTTCCGCAGGCACTCCTTGGCCAACCTCGTTGCCGACTGGTCTAACGAGAATTTGGTGCAAGGAATGTCAATGATACCCACATGCTGCTTTGGCGGTCATTTCTCAATGCATCGACGTCACCGGTGCATTTCGTTCCTTAATGATATCCATTCGCGCAGGTTTATCCAGCTTGCGTGTGTTCATGTTTTGCGCCGTGCAACTAGATTGATACCACTTGCTGTCTTGCTTTGATGTTGGTTGATCTACGATCACTAGTTTGATACTTTTTTGTGTTGATACCCGAAGGGGAGGACTGGATTTGGTGGCTTCAACTCAAATCGAGCCCGGTTGTTAACTGTTTGCTTGGAGCGTGTACGCCATGTATACTTGCGCACCGCATCATAGTAATAATTAATAGATTCAATAATGCGTTTGTATGATTCCGGTGTTTCTGGTAGATCGTGATCTCCACAATTCCATTCCAAATTTGCATGTGAGAAGTAGCATATTGATCCAAGGCCCGAACTTCAAAGCAGGCAGACTACGTTTTTCTGTCTATGGGGCTCAAATGTGGGCCAAGCCGCCGTGGACGACAGTAGAGAACAATCCCTTGAGATTCAAACTCAATTGTGCCTTTCCAGTTTCATTGTCTCTTGACCATGTGCCTTGATGACATCACTCAACGCAGCGCCTTCTATTGATTATTAGACTACACGCAGATTACCACAACCTCCTGTCTACAAGGGCAGATGACATCGAAAACGGTCAAGGGAAGAAAATGTTGGTGAGTATCGCCGACGTCTACGGCGATTCCCGGTAGGGAGGATCCGTATGTTCGTGCATGGGTCCTCCACTGCAGAGGTGGATTTCCGCGAGGTGCAGAATGTGGACATTGGACGCGATTGACCCGAGGGCTATTCTAGACTGTTTGGCTTCAGTGAGAATCTGACCCTCCTTGACGAAAGGGTCGTAGGAACCCGTCACCAGGGAAAAGGTAGGGATACGTATGGTACTTTCTCAAGGCCAGAAGGTTGGTAGGAGTATATATAAGGTGCAGACAACTGTCCTTTTCTCCAAACGGTCGAGCCACTTGTCCTTCAGAATGCCTGAGAGAAAATACTCACTACTATCTACTACTCAAAAATGATTCTGGAAGCGAAATCCACTGACTGTGCGCGCGGGCTGATAGAGTTTGGGCCTCGGAGATAGTAAAACGAAGTCCACGCCCTTTGATGACACCAACTCCCGAATGGGCAACAGGTGGGTGAAACCTGTGTTGGCGGGGAGAGAAAAGGGAAAGTGATATGAGTGGAATAACCCGACCGATCCCCGGTTTTCCTGTTTTTTTGTCCTTTTCGCTCAGCTCCCTTATTAATCCATTTTATTGTCTAATGCTCTGATTGGTTCAGCTGGTGATGGCGTGCTGAGACATGAGGCTCCCAGGCCACCAGGCTGCCAGGCGTTGAGGGCTCAGCCCCCCGTCCCTTGTGACTTGGACTGATTAACGGCCTGCATATGCCGTCTGGAGTGTGGAGTAGATAGGTCTATGGGTCCGTGGCTAAGATGAAATTGGCTTTATATGACGGACACGAAGCTGCAGGCTTGCGTGGATTCACCAATGTAATATCAATGAGACAGTTCAGGGAGGCTGTGATGAGACCGGCTTTCTTAGTGCTGTCGTGGAATTGATGCCTGGATTCTGGATGCGATGTTGCGCCATGTAATTGGACAATGGGTCGTGAAGCGGTACCTGTTGACCGGTACCGAGTACGCGGCGGAGTAATGGCGCTCCGTATTGCGAGGCATCCAAACCAGAGTATTGCCAGCGTCATGGAGTCCTCATTCCAGGACTGTCAATTGCCAATGATGGATTGTAGTGATACTGATAATCCTCTTCGTACGTAGTGTTCGATGAACTCGAATACCGAGTTCAATTGAAGGCGTCTTTACGCTGCGCCCTGCTCGACAGGTACGTACCAGAAAAGTACCTTACCTACCTGCACAGGAATGGGGCGTGTTCCCGCGGGCCCGACGGACCAATCATGGCGGCACATGGTCCTATGACTCACACCTGCTGACTGCATCAACGAGCGCTATCCCGATACGGTTAGTGCTGGAAGTGGGACATTGTTGCGGCGCCATTGGCTGCTGGCGGAAACGCACGGCGCACACAGACAGGTTAAGCTAGCCAGACACTGGCACACTCGAGGGTTTTAAGAAGTGCCTGATTTCCATCGCTGCCTGGCGCTTTTCTTTTCCCTTTTCCTTTCTCTCCTCCATCTTTTCTTCCTCTCAAACCATCATCACCTATTATTTTTTTTTTAAAAACATCTTCACCATACAACCACACAATTATCAAGAATATCCGTGTCAGTATCCATTGCAAAATGGCTTCCTTTTAAGCTCCTCGCCCAGAACGAGCTCGTCTTTCTCTCCTGAGACAGACACCATAGATCCTTCACGGTCTTCGTCACTTTCCAACATCTCCTCTCAACCTTTCTCAGAGTCTCCTGTCCCAGGACCTCTGAACTTTAGCATCGCTTCGCGTAGCTCAAGTTCTTCTTTGACCAACATTCTCCCGTTCGACGTCACGTCGTTCACCACGGATAACCATCAGCAATCATGGCTCCCCACGCCCCCGCCCCAGCAGCCTACGGCTCAGAATCTGAATTCGAATTCCAACAACGACAGCAACAGTTCCCCGCAGGAGGACTTTGTGCTCTATCCCGCCCCGTGTCCGCAGCCTCGTTTGAGAGACTCGCGTGCGCAAGTACTTCCGAGTACAGCCCCTAGATCTGTTTCATACAATCCGTTCCTGGTCCGATCTCAGTACCAGCAGCCCAGACGGCACTCGCTCAGTCTGTATCAGCACCTCCAGCAACAGAAACTTTCGGGTTCGCCTGTCCAGGTTCCTCGTGTGACCAGGCTTCACTCACAGTCTACCGGGTATTCTCTGTCCTCGTCTCTTCGGTCTAGTCCCTCCAGCCGGACGCACTTTCAGCGTGTCCACGCCGCGTCTGCGCCTTCGAATTCGCCAAATCCCAATCGTCCCCCTGTTCCATTGTTTTCAGCAGCCAACGGCACTCAATTCAGTCAAAAACAGCTCCAGCAATTACAACAGTTTTATCACCGCCGCATCATGTCGACCCCCAACATCGCTCAAGGTGAGCTGGCAGAAACTATATTGGTTTCAACTTGGTCTAATTCCGCAGCAGATATGCCCGACTTCTTCGGTCTGCCCTCGAATGACTTTGGGGATGATTTCGAGTTGAGCACTGAACCCACCATGCTTTCTCCTCATCAGATCCCCACTGGCCTCATGGCTGTCAAGGACTCTGTGGCAGGTGCCCCTTCGGGCACCATCTCGCCCAAGGACTTGTTCATGGATGCGTCGGCACCCCCGTCGACCTCATTCACTGATCTCAGCACTCCTTCCTTCGAGTCTCCTGGTTATTTCAGCCAGGACACTTCGCCCATGTTCCCCACCGATCTGGAGCTGGGCCCTGGCTCCGAGGAGTGGGGTCCGCTCTTCCCTGCTCAAGATGACTTCTCCACGGCCTTCGACTCCGCTGCCTTGGATGTTGCACTCGCTCTCTCCCAACCCGAGCCTAAGCCCGCAAAGGAGGTCTCTGTTCCTCCTTCTCCTGCGGTTCGCAAATCTGCTTCGCCAGCTCCTTCTCCTGCGCCAAGCAAGTCGGGTGTTAAGCACTCCACCGTCGCCGGTGTCAATGCTCGTCAACGCAAGCCGTTGCCCCCTATTAAGGTTGACACCGCCGACCCTGTCGCGCTGAAGCGTGCTCGCAACACCGAGGCTGCTCGTAAGTCTCGTGCTCGCAAGCTCGAACGCCAGGATGAGATGGAGCGACGCATCCGTGAACTCGAGAAGTCTCTGGAAGAAGCTCAGCAGCGTGAACAGTACTGGAAGGCGCTTGCCCAGAACAGGGGTTGAACGATGATCGATGGCTTATCTTGACGACATGCTGCGTTTGTGATATCTTGTTTGTTTCTTTGTTTGCTGTTTTTCTCTACCTTGGCTTCTAAAATTGGGACGTGCAAAATGGGATCTGTGGTGGCGGGGGCTCGAGCCCCTCGTCAACCGAATGCCAGAAGTACCAGTCAGTCTCCGCAGGATGGTTACCTGACGATGACGCTTCTGGCAGGATAAAAGTTTTCTTTACTTAATGCCTTGAATGGTGGGCATTGAAACACCATCTTATTTCTATCTTTTCGGGTACTCTTCGCCTGGCCTGCTTCTTACAGTCATCCTGATCCTTACCTAGGGTGCTGTTTCTCTTTCTTTGTGTTTCTTGTACTGATGGTCGGTTCTGATGTCTCCTGTCAAGCAGGATTGACTCGTGGCCAATTAATACTTTTGCTTTGCTCTTGCCTGTCAGTCGCTCAATTCCATCGATGCGAGTTTTGTCTGACGTGGCTCTTGTCTGTTTCAACATGTCCTGCGTTTAACCAGAGACTGTCTTTACTAAATTGAACTTAACTATGTCGCTCTCTACTCTTTTTCCAGTGTAGCTGTATCTCGCCTGTAGAGCTCAGATCACTTCCAGCTTCGGCCTGCGAGCATCTACTCGGTGAAGAATGATAATACCGAAAGTGGTTGTATTTACGCCTACGGATTGCAGAATCTCTTCAAACTACGGGGGATGAATGAGTATAATTGATCCTGCTCGACTCAGCTCAGACTTGCCTTTTTAACCCGTCATCGACTCAAAACCTCTTGATTCTCGGGAACCTGTCAGAGCCGCACCATCCATACCCTGACGTACCACAAGGAACACAGTGAC